TATTATACACTGAGAAATGTCTACATTAGTTCTCCAGAGCTCCCTGCCAAGCGAGCCAGCGCAGGCAAGAGACGGGAACCCCTGCCATGGAAAACCTCTCGCTCGAAGATTGTAGTGGAAGCCTGGCGTGATCTCAGGTAAAGAAACCTTCTGCTTCTCGTGATGCTGCTGCCTTTCCCCCGCCTCCTCCCTGCTTCTTCCCCCGTCTCGGAGCCTGCTTCTCCAGCTGCCAAGGAGCTGCTAGGGGGAAGAGAAGCGACCTGTGATAAATCACGGGCGCTGGGCGAGCCTTACCTAGGCAGTGCGCACAGCTGGGCTAGCCTGGGTGCTCTGTCTTGGGCAGGGGGGTGTGGGGCCGGGGCTGAAGGCAGGGACCGGAGTTCAACTTTCTGGATTTGACGGCAAAGTTGGAAGGGCATCGCCGATGATCTCGTAAGAAAGTTTGTATCGGTGAAGGGTTGTTTTTGGTTGTTTATCCCGCAGCCGCGAGAGGCAGAGGAGGCAGCGTGGGACTGCCTGGGGAGCCCGGGCTCCTGGCAGATGGGAGCTGGAAGGGGAGAGCTTGTGTAGTCTCGGCTCGGCTGCTCAAAGAGTGGTGGGACTTGGGCAGCGTTACGGGGCACCTGGCAGGCGCTGTCGTGGCTTGCACCACCCCGGCTGTGCCGCGGGCTCCAGCTCACCAGGCGGCAGCTGCCCACACGCGGGTTCAGGTGGCTCCTCCACGCTGAAAACTTTTGGGTGCGCGTGTGTGCGTGTGCGCCTCGGCTCCGGGTCTGACATGTTCCGTGCGAATACATTGCAAGGACCAGCACGGGAAGGCGAGGCCTTCCTGCAGTCGTCTGGAGGGCTTGCCAAGAGGAATTAAGTGAAGACTACAAATTAAAAATGTTCCAAGTGGGTAGCTTTAAACAGCTCGTTTTACACGTAGTGGTAATCGGAGTAAATTACCATCAGAGCTGCCCTTTTAGGCAACTCTTATGCGTGTCATCCTTACTCTAGTGATCGCAAATCATAGTGAGGATATCTGGATATGTATCTATGTATATGTATGTGTGTGTGTGTGCCCATATCTAGCATCTATCTAGCTATCTAGCTATCGCTATATAGAGAGGTATATATATGTATATCTATATGTATATCTGTATCTATATAGATATATAGATATCGTGTGTATATATGTATATCTATATATCTATATATCTATCTATATAGATATATAGATATATATCGTGTGTATAGTATATATCGCTATAGAGAGAGGTTTGGCGGTGTCTATATTTATACACACACACACACACCTCTATACTTCTCTATATAGCGATATATATACACACACGTGTGTGTATATATATATAGTATTTATATAGCTGTATAAATATATATGCATATATACATATGTGTGTATATATGCATATATACGTGTGTGTGTGTGTGCGTGCGTGCGTGCATATATATGTATGGATGTATAGGTGGAACAGATGCAATGACCTGGCCGGCTCTCGCTGTGGCAGGCAAGGCGTGTGTGATCACACTTCGGGCACCCTCGTTGGAAATCTGCGGATTTAATGTCAGCGCCGACTTCCTGGGAACTAATCTGTCTGCAGATGTTGCAGGCTGCCCTCCGTGCGGTGTCAGATCCTAACTGGGCAACGTGTAGTGCTTCACAGTGTTTGTCAGGCAGTGTCAAGGTTGCTTTAAATCTTTAACGTGAAAACAAAGCGAACTCGACTGCAGGAGCTCGCGGAGGTGCATTTAGCCCATAAGCAAATACAGTCGCCCTGAAATACTGCACGAGGAGGCAGTAACACCTCCAAAATAGGAGGCGATGAAAATAGACACAATAAAGCTGTCGCCGCATCCCCTCGAGTCTTTGCAGACGTCCATCAAAGCCCAGCCTTGCCCAGGCTCTCTCTGCTTTACCTGCTGTGGCCTGTTCGAGTACCGCACAGTTTCCTTCTTGCTTCATGTTTTTTTATAATAAAACTTGTATGAACATTGGCTCCGGTTCCTCTGAGGAGGAAGAAATCTGCCAGTGCATAACCCTTGAAGCCATACTTCACTTGGCTGGGATTCAGAAAGACGTGTGTGTGTGTGTGTGTGTGTGTGTCTACACACACTTATTTTTCTATTGAGAGAAACTCTCCACTATTTCATGTTGATCTTGAAGGCTTTCCTTTCTTTTCACTTTGGAGGGGGAAAGGCGCAGGGGTTGATTATTTCGCTCGACTATTTTGTGCTGGGAAGGGGTATGGCAAGGATCACTGTTCATGGCACCCCAAATACCTGCATTTTTCACGTGCTTAAGGGGATAGCCCACACCATTAACCCTTACTCCTTAGGTGTGAGCAGTGCAAGCTTGCTTATGTGCGAAGAGCCACAATGGGTATTTTAAATCACTGTTGGGTTTATGCTTGAGTTCTGACAGTAAAAAATCATGGTGAATTATAACTTCGTGGAGTTTTGCATCAACAAAAAGCCATTATTGGTAGATTGTAAGTGAAACATAACAAGGCAGGAACACTTTCTGAAGAGGTCATGGCAACTTTTATAAATTGTCTGTTTCAAGATCTTAATATAGTAAGGGGTTTTTTTAAATGAAAGCAGTCCAGGGAATGCCGAATGGTGCTGGCATAATGCTGACTTAGGGTAAGGTAATACAGCAGGCAAGCTGGAAAGGAAAATGACAAATTATTAGAGTGATTAATAAAGGAGCCTTCAGTGCAGAAGAAATGGGTATCAGCGGATTTGCATGGTGCAGGGTGGTGAAAGACAATTGGAGATATATAAATAGACAAGGGGTATAAATATTGAATCTGATCTTGTGTTTTAAAGATTAATAGACTCATCTAAATATCAGTCCTGTGGTGTTCGGGGTGTCACTGCCGGCTTGACGTCTGCACTAGCATCAAAAGGAAAAGACAGGACATGCGAAACTACGGTCTAAAAAACCGAGAGATGGTGTCGCAGTTCCTCAGACCCCTTCTCTGTCCCTATCAGCTAATTATAGCGCTTTACACTGAGCTACTCTCCAGATAAGTGCCACCGTTCCTGTCTCCAGCACCGTTGAATTATCCCCAGTGTTTAGAGAGTCCAAACTGAGCTTAATAACAATAGGAATGCAGTGCAGTGCAGTACAAACCTCTTCATTAGGACCTTCCCCCCCATACACACACCTTTTTATTTTTATTTATTTTTTTTGACATATTGATTGATTTTCTCCGGGGCGGGGGGGAGGGGGTTCCCCCCCTTTTTAAATCCTCCACCACGTTGCATATACACATAGTCTTTGCAAATGACAGCTGGAAATAGCATGATGGTCTGGAGACACTGGAGGAACCAGGAGGACTAAAGAAACATTTCATTGTTGTAACGCGCGAGTTCATTATTATTCCCAGACAGAAGGTGATATTAGCATTGCAGGTGAGAAAGGAACAAACACATTCTTCCGAGAAATCAATACGGAATTCAGGAACGATTATGAATGCCATAGGAATGACATTAATAAAGCACAAGAGCTCTTTCTACATTTCTCCCGGAGCCGGCTGCATAATTTGCAGTGCGCTGATTCTTTCCCTTCCTTTCTTTCTATTTGCAAACAGTTTGAGATGCCATAGGACCTTGCTCGTTGTAGCCTAACTCGATCCGAGAACGAGCATTTTCATCTGTAAATTAAAGCAATTACGCAGCAGATATTATATGATGTGTACTGTGGTCTCCAGATAGTCATCAATCACCCTCAATCTAGCTGTCAGAGTGGGCAGATTCGTTTCTGGGAGGCAGTCTTCCAGCTGGGGAGAAGAAGAGAACATCATCATTAATTAGAGTGTGACCCTGGGGCTATTCACATGTCTGAACCCAGGAAGCTCTCCGAGCAAGTCTGCACAGCGCGGCGCAGCCCTCCGCGGCCGGGCGCTGCGCTCGGGCCCCGCTCCGGGGTGCCCCGCTCCGAGGAGGCGCCTGGCCCTGGCACCGCTGCCAGCGAGGTGGTGCCCGCCGACCTGGCCCAGCTGGCGCACGGGGTGTGCTCAGGGCCGGATTAACGCAGGGGCAAACTAGGCGCACGCCTGGGGCCCTAAGTGAAGAAGGGGGCCGATTGTGCTGCTTTTACATATTATGAGCAGCCAGTGGGGGGGGAAGTCATATAAATATACAGTATTAAGTAGCCCATGCCTTATTTTGCCCACTGAAGGGTTAATCCGGCCCGAGGGGGAGCGAGGTTGCCCACTCCCCGGCCTGCCAAAGCCACCAGGTCTTCTCCCAGAGTCCTTCACTCTTCCCCCCAGCCCCTACCACCGCCCCCGAGTAGGATCTGGGCTTCAGTGCCCCCAAAGGGTGCACAGGGCCCGGACCCTAAGGTGCAAATCACCTTCCTGAGACAGCGGCCCACCCCCCAGGGAAGCAGGGAGCCGCTGGCCCTGGCCCCCAAGCGTTCCAGCTGCGGTGGGGCCCGATCCCTGCCCCTGGGGGATGGTTGGGACCTTGGTTGCTGGAAACCTGCGTGTTTCTATGCAAGGCACAGGCTGAGCCTGGCACCGGCGAGCAGGGAAGAAACTCCCAGCGCAGGAACCTCCCAGGTCAGAGGGGGTGTCCCCAGGGCGCGCCTGCCTCTGCTCCTGGGCTTTCCAAGGCACTTGAGTAAAGAGATGTTGGCTTTAAGGGGGGAAAAACCAGAAAGCCAAGCGATGAACCCACTGGGGACAATTTGCCACCCGGCAGAGTGAGAGAGAGCGAGCTGCAGGATCAGGGCCGGCGCTGGCTTTTGTAGCCAAGTGTTACCAAGCCAGGGCTCTGGCCCGGCCCGGAGGAGGCAGTCCCGCCTGCAGCAGGCGTGCGGATGCCGTCGCACACATCTGGAGCCAAAGGCAGCAGCGCACATCTGGAGCCAAAGGAAACAGAACCGCGCGGGTCCTGGGCTTTATTGTATTGTCAGCGGCGGGGCTCGTTTTAACTGTTGATTAAATCTTCAATGAAGACTCAGTCGTGTGTCCCTTCATACGTCTCGTTTGTAATTGAGACTAATTATTACGGCGGGGTGGGAAGAAGCAGCTGCTCATTAATTAATTTCTAATTAAAAGTGCTTACCAGCTCGCAGTGACTAAGGGGGAAGGAACCTCTTAGGCGGTCGCAACATTGATTCGTACCCAGCCAAACCCTGCAAGAGAAAGCGATCCCGGGGCTAGAAGCAGAGCTAGCTGGTGCCCCGGTGCTTTCCAAACTTTTAGCCCCTGCATGTGGCGGACTCTCTTCTGTACAGTCCCCAGCACACACCTAAAGCTCCCCAATATGGATGGTAAACTTCCAGCCGGGTGAATGAGAGTAGGATTTATCTGACGTCAGAGGCTCTACTCTTTAAAACAACGTGCATCTGCCTGGATATGTTTGAGCTACTTTCCTTTTTCTTTCTTTCCTTTCTTTCTTGTGTGCAAAATCCCCGGTATCCCTGGCTCTCCACGTCTGTCAGTCTCCCACAACTAGCCATGGCTTCTGCTTTGCAGCTATAGCCAAAAAAAAATAGATACAGCCAGCCATCATAGTACCTTTCTTTTTTTATTATTATTATTTCAGTTTTTAAAAGTTTCAGAAGCATGTCAGTACATTAAATCTCGTATTCTGCTTCGTCCTATAAGCATCTAGGAACCTGTGGGCACCGATCAATCGGTACAATAGAGCAGAGGCAGGCTGCAATAGCGTGCAGAGCAGACGTCTCTCCTCGTTCCTAGAAAACTGGGAGCCTCTGTACCATGTCATATCCTCAGTTCGGATACCCTTACTCTTCTGCACCCCAGGTAAGGCTCGATTGTCCGCAAGCCGTTAATTGATTGCATTTTAGTCATTATTG